TAAATCAGGGCCTAATTGTCACCTTGCATGCTGTCTTATCTAGAACATTAAGGTGGAGCCCAGGCCGGGTTTTCAAGGCCACTATGGCAGAGGTGGTTCCGAACCGGTTTTTGTGGTCCACTGATGACCTCCAGTAGGTGGTATAAGTAAGGCAGGACTGAAGCAAGAAGTTGCTCTTGGTCTGGGACTCAGAGAGCCATATCTGAGTGAGCTGTGGATGAAAGTATGCATTGAACAAGAAAGGAAAAGGTTTGCATACTGTTTTGATTTTGTTGGTGACAGGGAGAAGCCCTTCACGGTGAGATGGGAATCTTCTGTGTTTAGTTAGTGCCTGGATGGCGAGGATTTATTTTCTGTTGTGTGTTTATGATGCTTGCAACCTTTTAAATAAAATTGACGACAGGTCAGATTTTACAAAAGCCCTGCTGTCTGGGCTAATTTTTCCCAGGGAATGTGATCCCCCACCTGAGCTACCCCCGCCGCTATATACAGTCAGGTCCATAAATATTGGGACATCGACACAATTCTAACATTTTTGGCTCTATACACCACCACAATGGATTTGAAATTAAACGAACAAAATGTGTTTTAACTGCAGACTGTCAGCTTTAATTTGAGGGTATTTACATCCAAATCAGGTGAATGGTGTAGGCATTCCAACAGTTTGCATATGTGCCTCCCACTTGTTAAGGGACCAAAAGTAATGGGACAATTGGCTTCTCAGCTGTTCCATGGCCAGGTGTGTGTTATTCCCTCATTATCCCAATTACAATGAGCAGATAAAAGGTCTAGAGTTCATTTCAAGTGTGCTATTTGCATTTGGAATCTGTTGCTGTCAACTCTCAAGATGAGATCCAAAGAGCTATCACTATCAGTGAAGCAAGCCATCATTAGGCTGAGAAAACAAAACAAACCCATCAGAGAGATAGCAAAAACATTAGGCATGGCCAAAACAACTGTTTGTAACATTCTTAAAAAGAAGAAGCGCACCTGTGAGCTCAGCAACACCAAAAGACCCGGAAGACCATGGAAAACAACTGTGGTGGATGACCGAAGAATTCTTTCCCTGGTGAAGAAAACACCCTTCACAACAATTGGCCAGATCAAGAACACTCTCCAGGAGGTAGGTGTATGTGTGTCAAAGTCAACAATCAAGAGAAGACTTCACCAGAGTGAATACAGAGGGTTCTCCAGAAGATGTAAACCATTGGTGAGCCTCAAAAACAGGAAGGCCAGATTAGAGTTTGCCAAACGACATCTAAAAAAGCCTTCACACTTCTGGAACAACATCCTATGGACAGATGAGACCAAGATCAACTTGTACCAGAGTGATGGGAAGAGAAGAGTATGGAGAAGGAAAGGAACTACTCATGATCCTAAGCATACCACCTCATCAGTGAAGCATGGTGGTGGTAGTGTCATGGTGTGGGCATGTATGGCTGCCAAGAGAACTGGTTCTCTTGTCTGCAATCACATCATCAATAAATACAAAAGCAGCAGGATGAATTGTGAAGTGTTTCGGGCAATATTATCTGCTCATATTCAGCCAAATGCTTCAGAACTCATTGGACGCCGTTTCACAGTGCAGATGGACAATGACCCAAAGCATACTGTAAAAGCAACCAAAGAGTTTTTTAAGGGAAAGAAGTGGAATGTTATGCAATGGCCAAGTCAATCACCTGACCTGAATCCGATTGAGCATGCATTTCACTTGCTGAAGACAAAACTGAAGGGAAAAAGCAGGAACTGAAGACAGTTGGAGTAGAGGCCTGGCAGAGCATCACCAAGGATGAAATCTAGCGTCTGGTGATGTCTATGCATTCCAGACTTCAGGCTGTAATTGACTGCAAAGGATTTGCAACCAAGTATTAAAAAGTGAAAGTTTGAGTTATGATTATTATTCTGTCCCATTACTTTTGGTCCCCTAACAAGTGGGAGGCACATATGCAAACTGTTGTAATTCCTACACCCTTCACCTGATTGGGATGTAAATACCCTCAAATTAAAGCTGACAGTCTGCAGTTAAAGCACATCTTGTTCGTTTCATTTCAAATCCATTGTGGTGGTGTATAGAGCCAAAAATGTTAGAATTGTGTCGATGTCCCAATATTTATGGACCTGACTGTATATATATATATATATATATATATATATATATATATATATATATATATATATATATATATACACATACATACACACACACACATATATACACACACACACACACACACACACACACACACACACACACACACACACATATATATATATATATACACACATACATACATATATATATATATTGTGGGGTTAGCTCAGGTGGGGGATCACCTTCCCTGGGAAAAAAGGTAGATCGCACTGCAGGCTTTCTTAAAATCTGACGGGTTGTCAGCTTTATTTAAAAGGTTTGCAAAATATCAAAAAAATAAACAAACATCAAAATAAACCCTTGCCATCCAGGCACTAACTAAACATGAGACATTTCCTCTCTCAGAGGTGAAGGGCTTCTCCCTGTCACCCAAAACAAAAACAAACGCAAACCTTTTCTTGTAGGTATAGAACACACACGGCTCTCTCAGAATACCTCTGAGTCCCAGGCCACGAGCAACTCCTTGCTCCAGCCCTGCCTACTTTATGCCACCCGTTGGTGGTCATCAGTGGAGCACAAACTCCGGTCCGGAACCACCTCTGCCATTGTGGCCCCGAAAACCCGGAGTGGACTCCACCTTACACCTCACAGTATGACCTCATGCGAGGTGACACATATCGTCCATCCATCACTTTGCCGTTCATACTGTCACACAATAATATATATATATATATATATATATATATATATATATATACACACATATACATATATATATATATACACACACACACACACACACACACACAGTGGGGATCGAAAGTTTGGGCACCCCAGCTAAAAATTTGTATTAATGTGCATAAAGAAGCTAAGGAAAAATGGAAAAATCTCCAAAAAGGCATCAAATTACACAGATTAGACATTCTTATAATATGTCAACAAAAGTTAGATTTTATTTCCATCATTTACACTTTCAAAATAACAGAAAACAAAAAAATGGCGTCTGCAAAAGTTTGGGCACCCTGCAGAACTTATAGCATGCACTGCCCCCTTTGCCAAGCTGAGACCTGCCAGTGTCATGGAATGTTCTCAATCATCGTCTGGGAAGACCAGGTTATGTCAATCTCAAAGGCTTTAAATGCCCAGACTCATCTGACCAGTTGAGCAGTTGTCTAAAAAACTGAAACTGAAAATAGTTGACGCTCACAAAGCTGGAGAAAGCTATAAGAAGATAGCAAAGCGTTTTCAGATGTCAATATCCTCTGTTCGGAATGTAATTAAGAAATGGCAGTCATCAGGAACACTGGAAGTTAAAGCAAGATCTGGAAGACCAAGAAAAATATCAGACAGAATAGCTCGCAGGATTGTGAGAAAAACAATTCAAAACCCACGTTTGACTGCACGATCCCTCCAGAAAGATCTGGCAGACACTGGAGTTGTGGTACACTATTCCACTATAAAGAGATACTTGTACAAATATGGTCTTCATGGAAGAGTCATCAGAAGAAAACCTCTTCTACGTCCTCACCACAAAAATCATCGTTTGAACTTTGCAAATGAACATATAGACAAGCCTGATGCATTTTGGAAACAAGTTCTGTGGACCGATGAGGTTAAAATTGAACTTTTTGGCCGGAATGAGCAAAGGTACGTTTGGAGAAGAAGGGGCACAGAATTTAATGAAAAGAACCTCTGTCCAACTGTTAAGCATGGGGTTCAATCATGCTTTGGGGTTGTGTTGCAGCCAGTGGCACAGGGAACATCTCACGAGTAGAAGGAAAAATGGATTCAATAAAATTTCAGCAAATTTTGGATGGTAACTTGATGCCATCTGTGAAAAAGCTGAAGTTAAAGAGAGGATGACTTCTACAAATGGATAATGATCCTAAACACACCTCAAAATCCACGGGGGATTACATCAAGAGGCGTAAACTGAAGGTTTTGCCATGGCCTTCACAATCTCCTGACCTCAACATAATTGAAAATCTATGGATAGACCTTAAAAGAGCAGTGCGTGACAGACAGCCCAGAAATCTCAAAGAACTGGAAGACTTTTGTAAGGAAGAATGGGCAAAGATACCTCAAACAAGAATTGAAAGACTCTTGGCTGGCTACAAAAAGCGTTTACAAGCTGTGATACTTGCCAAAGTGGGGAAAGTACAAGATATTAACTCTGCAGGGTGCCCAAACTTTTGCAGACGCCATGTTTTTGTTTTCGGTTATTTTGAAAGTGTAAATGATGGAAATAAAATCTAACTTTTGTTGACATATTATAAGAATGTCTAATCTGTAATTTGATGACTTTTGGAGACTTTTCCATCTTTCCTTGGCTTCTTTATGCACATTAATACAAATTTTTAGCTGGGGTGCCCAAACTTTCAATCCCCACGGTATATATATATATATACACACATATATATATATATATATATATATATATATATATATACACACACATACATATATACACACACACACACGCGCACACACATACATATATATATATATATATATATATATATATATATATATACCGTACCGTTTTTCGCACCATAAGACGCACTTTTTTCCCCCCAAAAAAGGGGGGAAAATGTCAGTGCGTCTTATGGAGCGAATATGGAGCGGCGGCCGGTCCGGTCCGGTTTTTCCACTGCCGCCGTGTCAGAATACCAGGCCGGCCGCTCAGCTCTACAGCGGGACCTTATAGAGATGACTGCTGACCTTTGGGGGGGGGGAGCGGGATACCCGCTCCCACTTCCGTGGAATTGTTCTTTCATCTTACCCGTTCCTCTATCCAGCGGCGCGGTCTTCCCGGCTTCTGTAGTGTGGGCATGACAGCCGGGCGCCAAGTGCGCATGCGCAGGAAGCGGTGCTTTTTGTGAATGGTAAGGCGGCACCTGGGACACATGACAGATCCCAGAAGCGCCGGACCAATCACAAAGCGCAAGTGCTTCTCGCTCATGCGCACTGGGCACCCGGCTGTCATGCCGAGCGCCAACACGGAAGACAGCGCGCGGCTGGATAGAGGAACAGGTAAGATGAAAGAACAACTCCGCGGAAGTAAGAGCGGGTACCTGTCAAATTCAGGTACCCGCTCCCCACTTCCCCAAAGGTCAGCAGTCATCTGTACTGTCCGCAGTCTCTGGTCATCCCTGTGCTGTCCGCAGTCTCTGGTCATCCCTGTGCTGTCCGCAGTCTCTGGCCATCTCCTGTACTGTGTCCGCACTCTCTGGTCATCTCCTGTACTGTGTCCGCACTCTCTGGTCATCTCCTGTACTGTGTCCGCAGTCTCTGGTCATCTCCTGTACTATGTCTGCAGTCCATTAGTTCAGAATTTTTTTTTTCCTGTTTTCTGCCTCTAAAACCTAGGTGCGTCTTATGGTCAGGTGCGTCTTATGGAGCGAAAAAATACGGTATATACACACATACATTACATATATATATATATATATATACACACATACATACACACACACATATACATATACACACACATACATATACACACACACACACAGTTGTGTTCAAAATAATAGCAGTGTGTTGAAAAAAGTGAACAAAGCTCAAAATCCTTCTAATAGCTTTTATTTCCATACACACAAATGCATTGGGAACACTACACATTATATTCCAAATCAAAACACAAAGAAAAATATCAAATTTGTGTTGTTCCTCTTAAAAAAAAATTAAGAAAAGTGAATATTAGACTGTTCAAAAAATAGCAGTGTTTGTATTCTTCTTTACAAACTCAAACATTCACTATATAAAACTGAAAAATGTTTGAAGATTTTGCTTTCCTTTGAATCACTTAATTAATATTTAGTTGTATAACCACTGTTTCTGAGAACTGCTGTACATCTGTGTTGCATGGAGTCAACCAACATCTGGCACCTGTGAACAGATATTCCAGCCCAGGATGATTGGACTACATTTACAGTTCTCTATTTCTTGGTTTTGCCTCAGAAACTGCATTTTTGATGTCACCCCACAAGTTTTCTATTGGATTAAGATCCGAGGATTGGGCTGGCCACTCCATAACGTCAATCTTGTTGGTCTGGAACCAAGTCGTTGCACGTTTACTGGAGTGTTTGGGGTTGTTGTCTTGTTGGAACACCTATTTCAAGGCCATTTCCTCTTCAGTATAAGGCAGCATGACCTCTTCAAGTATTCTGATGTATTCAAACTGATCCATGATCCCTGGTATGCGATAAATAGGCCCAACACCGTAGTATGAGAAACATCCCCATATCATGATGCTTGCGCAACCATGCTTCACTGTCTTCACAGTGTACTGTGGCTTGAATTCAGTGTTTGGGGGTCGTCTGACAAACTATCTCTGGCCACTAGACCCAAAAAGAACAATCTTACTTTCATCAGTCCACAAAATGTTGCGCCATTTCTCTTTAGGCCAGTCAATGTGCTCTTTGGCAAATTGTAACCTCTTCAGCAGATGTTTTTTTCAACAGTGGGACTTTGCGGGGGCTTCTTGCAGATAACTTGGCTTCACATAGGTGTCTTCTAATTGTAACAGTACTCACAGGTAACTTTAGACCTTCTTTGATCTTCCTGGAGCTGATTCCTGGCTGAGTCATTGCCATTTTGGCTATTCTTCTATCCATTCGAATGGTAGTTTTTCGCTTTCTTCCACATCTTTCAGGTTTTGGTTGCCATTTTAAAGCATTTGCGATCATTTTAGTTGAGCAGCCTATCATTTTCTGCACTTCTTTATATGTTTTCCCCTCTCCAATCAACTTTTTAATCAAGGTATGCTGTTTCTTATTAACAATGTCTGGAACGACCCATTTTCCTCAGAATTTCTGAGAGAAATGCACTGTAACCAGCATGTACAACATTTTGCTGCCTTCCTTCCTTAAATAAGAGCAATAATTGCCACCTGTTTTTCAAAGAATGAATGACCTCACTAATAGAACTTCACACTGCTAATATTTTGAACATGCCACTTTCAATTAGTGATTCAATTACACAGAATCAGCAGCATGCATGTCATGACTGTTGGGTCTGTTGGATTTCTATCACTCTACTACACCTGCTAGTAAATTATTTGCCATGTAGAAATATCATTTCAACCAAAAACAGTGATTGATCAGGTTAGTGATGTCTGACTGCTATTGTTTTGAACACTATATTTATTATATATATATATATATATACACACACACACACACACAGAGTGTGTATATATATATATATATATATATATATATATATATATATATATATATATATACACACTGGTAATGACAAATGGAATGGTAACACTCATTACTTTTCTTTGCATGCATTGATCTTTGTGACCTTGCAATAGATGCACAGACGTCACATTCATTGTCTTAAAACCGCTATAGACATTCATTTGTTAAAATTGGCTTTAACCAGTTTATTTGAGCCCCCTTACACACACCTCCAGGACTTTCTGATGTTTGCAGGGGTTGGGTGCTCCCCTGGAATGAACCGAAGCTGAATTTATCTAGTAAGTAAGAACATCCATTCCCCTTCAGTCTAGCACAGCGGTCACTAAACGGCGGACTGTGGTCCGCAAACGGCCCCAGCAGTGCTGCCGCCCGAACCGTCAGCCCGCCATGACAGATCTGCCGCTGAGCACGGCAGTCGTCACGGCAACATAACATCACGTGTGTGCCCCGCCCCTTTCAGCTCACTGTCTCTCCAGCTCCCGCTTCCTGCCTGTACACTAGCATCCAGCAAGGATCCCAGCACAGTTCCTGTCTGCACTCAAGGTAGAGCGTAGTCTTACAGGAGCACTCTGATGGGCACAATGGATGTTAAGGGGCACTCTGATGGGCACAACATAAAATGTGCCCATCAGAGTGAGCCTTAACATAAAATGTATCCATCAGAGTGCCCCTTAATGTAAATGTGCTCATCATAGTGTCCCTTAACATAAAATGTGCCCATCAGCATGCCCTTATTTTATGTTAAGGGGCACAATGACGAGCACATTTTATGTTAAGGGGGCACAAATGGGCATATACTGTGGAAAGAGGCACTCTGATGGGGAATATGATGTAAAGGGGTACTTTGAGTGTAAGGGAGCACTCTGACATGAATACCTGATGTAAGGTGGCAATGTGATGGGGATACCTGATGTAAAGGGACACTCTGATGGGGACACCTGATCTGATGGGAATACATGATGTAAAGTTGCACTCTGATGGCGACACCTAATGTAATGGGGCACACTGATGGGCACTCCCTATTTCGGACCTCTGCCAGAAGAAAATTTTAGTGACCGGACCTCTATGAATTTTAATTTAATACCCCTGGTCTAGCAGATTGGTTCAGAGGGCAGTCGGGTGTAAACAGACAGCAGGTCCATTTACAACCGACCGCCCATAGAGCAGAGTGGGCTGTGTCCATGTCCACTCTGCATAAGTGGAAGGACATGGACCAGACAATATACCCGCTCAGTGGGGGATCAGAGGACAGATCCCCTGCTGAGCAAACCAAATAAAAGCAGATTCTGCCCTGTGTGAAAGGGGCCTTACAAAGCACCACAGTAAAATGAGCACCCATCAGACATCTTTAGTGCAATGTGAGTCTGACTGCTGACAGAAATTTGACCAGGTTGTCTTCCAGTTGCAGGGTATAACTGAGCTGGCCACAGGCCAGATATAGGGGGGTGCTGTAGTGGGCTTTGCCCCTCTGTGTTTCAGTAATGCTCCTCAGGACCAGAGACATTGGTATCAGGAAGAAGACGAGTCTGGGGAGCAGTATGCAGCTTTGGCAGTGCCAAGTTGCCATGGTGGCACAGTGCCCTGCCCCTTCCAACACATCACATCTCTTGGTATGGCATCATTTGTTGCTTGTTGTGAATGGGAGACTCTGATGTGACTAGGGAATGGGGGGGACACTGTTGTGATGGGGGGGACTCTGATGTGATGCGGGGGACTTTGTTGTTTGTTGTTGGGGGACTCCAACAGGAAGGGAGACTAGTATGGGATGGGGGATTTGAAGGAGGCAATGTAATGGGGGGACAGTGATGTAAAAGGGACTGACTTTGGAGTGCTGGGGGAATCTGATGTAAAGGGGGAACACTGATGTAAATGGGGAACTGCCCCATGTGGCACCAGGGAGTGGTTGACATCATATAGCGCAGATGTCAGTGTCCTCAGACCCAATAAATACAGCTCAGGACTGGGGTGTCTTGGGATTTTGATAACTTTTAATGGATGACAGGATTATTCCCTTCCCCAAAAAGCATGTAACCGTATGTCCTCTGGTTGAGGGGGTTATAAACAAAAAACAAAATGCCATAACATAGGGTATAACTGCCCATTAAATTTCTCTGACTCACCATAAAGAAAGTGTGGATTTTCAAACCGAACACTTCACATACAAAAAAAAGGAGGAGCAGTTGACAAGAGCAAACTGCAAAAATATCAGAATATAAATCCAAGCAGAGTAAAGAGTAAAAACAATACTTTATTATAATTACAATGATCCTCTGAAGGATAGGCTTGAGACATGGTGGGCACACAGTATATCAGACAATATAAAACAGTGTAATTAAAAACAAAAGTCCAGTGCACTTAGCTGAATAGTTTAAAAACAATCAGGCTAGTAAACCGATAAAAATTACCTTCTGGGATGAAGTATCTTCCTCTGAATGTAGGCTTGAACTGCAGAAATACGTGAAAAGTGCACACAGTATGATCAAGATGTTTAAAAATAGTGGGTGACTTGCTGATTTCCGTGGAAAACAAAAGGGTCCAGTGAATTCATCTCCCTTAGCATGAAGGTGTGGAAGTAGCATATAGAAGTAAATCCTGGAAAATCAATTAAACATGGGAGTGCTAGTAAACCATCTCACGATAGATCAAAAATAATACCTTCAAAGGTTCAAATGAAGTAGTAATGGACCTTCATGGATAGAACTCAGTGTTATTGTAATGTAGAAGATGGATGTAGCAACTGCCAAGAAATACGTGGATCTGTAGTAAGTGACATTACAGTTGTGTATATTCAAGATGAAATTTAGTCTTCATATTGCTTTTGATGATTCTTGCTTACATTTACGAGGGTATAGCATAACAGTTATAATGAAATAACCACAAATGTCTTTTCTGTGCTCACAGCATTATCAGGAGGAGCATATATAACAGCTTTTAAACGTGAAGCATTCATGCAGCGATCTACGGGTATCTTCGCCCATTCTTCATGGCAAAGGCCTCCAGTTCAGTCACATTCTTAGGCCCTGGTCTCAATCGGATTTAAGTCTGGTGATAATGTTCCATCAAATTCTGGAGGTATGCTTGGGATCATTGTGTTGAAAGGTCCAACGGAACTGCATCACGTTTCCATCCAGCATATGAAGTAAATACCT